TTACTTATTAAAGCACAGTTTGATGAAAGGTTTGTTTATGAGTGCAGCACAAAATGGTGGAATATTAAGAAAACGTGGTCATGCGAGTTTCCCGCGAAGTCTCGCGAGCGTCGTATTATGTTAGTTTTGTGTTTTGTTTAATTGAGTTTTGTGTAGTGAAATTGAGTTTTGTGTTGTGGAATTGAGTTTTGTGTTGTGGAATTGAGTTTTGTGTATCGTGAATTTTGTTTTGTGTAGTGGAATTTTGTTTCGTGTAGTGGAATTTTGTTTTGTGTAGCAGAATTGAGTTTTGTGTTGTGGAATTGAGTTTCGTGTAGTGGAATTTTGTTTTGTGTAGTGGAATTTTGTTTTGTGTAGTGGAATTTTGTTTTGTGTAGTGGAATTGAGTTTTGTGTATTGCACTTGTGGGCCACCGTAGGCACCAGTGCCGGGCACCCAGTCATTCCGGTTCAATCACGGTTAATCGTCACAAAATGAAGTATCTCGCTCGTCGCTGACTGCCTGTTCGTGACCGCCGTCTCAACTTCCTCTTCTTTGTTCGACTCTCTGGTTCGACTCGTGATGCAAAGGAAAGTGCAAAACAAGATATCTCAAAAATGACAAAATAAAAGTTTGTGAAAATGGTGAATTTTAACAAGGCTTGCAGCTCTTTTGCCGCTGCAGTTCTTGAATATGATACGAATAAGATTGTTCATATAAAAAGCAAGAAAGTTGGTGCGATCAATCGAATAATTCAACTTGCGATCATCGGATATGTAATCGGGTAAGACACTATAGTTTTGTAATTTAATATAAATAGAATAGTAGGTCATTGTTTCATTGACCTCTTTAGGCCATATGGCAAAAATTTGATGTGAGCTTGCGGGCACACATACAAATAGCATTGTATTGCAAATATCTGGGATTTAATTGGTATTATTTGTGGTTTTTGATCAGTTCTTTTGGTCAGATCAAGTTGTGCTTCAAATTGCTGTTTTTTATATCATGTTTGTTGTCTGGGCATGTGTGCTATTTTCCCACGTGACATGCGCATGCAGGATGTCAACATAGCTGTCAACATAGCTTGTTCACCACAGTTGAACATGAGGACATTCTCCGATCCCCGAGTGTGCTTTCTCGATTTTTCATGTTTAAATGGCAGAATTGAAAGTGAAAATTTCACATTGTTTGGAATCTTTGGACATATACAGTCTGCTCAATTTACAGCATTTTGAAAATTTTGTTTTTCCTGGAATTTGCATGTGCTGCATTGAAACATTTTCATTGGGAGCAACAGTAGCAAACAGTAGAACTTCAATGTTTCGAGTGACATCACTTCATTAGTGAACAGCCTTCATTCGAAACGCCTATATTCTGCTTATATTTTCAGGTATTAATGTTTGTAATGTTATTTATATCATAGCATTATACAAAGTTTCAATGCTTTTATACATATATCGAATGTCACGAAACATGCATGGACTCAAGATCATCTAATTGACTTTGCCAATGCTAATTTAAAGTAATTTAGACAAGGGAAATCATAGGAACCTTAAAGGAACACCCGGTTTGACTGTAAAGTGCACAAAGAGTTCGCTGTGCGATATTTACAAACTGGCCGAGTTCCAAAGTGTGGCAGCTATTGGGACATTGAAAGGTTTAATATTACACAGACATTCCAACTACTGGAGGTAAAATTTAGGGAGACTGTTCAGTGAATTGAAATCTAGTTTTTCTGGGGAAAAATAATAAAAATTAAGTCTTCTGAAATGATTTCAGAAGACTAGTGAAATGGCGTTTCCTACATTTTGGGAATATATTGTTTAAGTGAGCCTATATAAATTGCCATGAAGTAACTTCATAAAAAGGTCAAGACAGTCTATTATGTTGCTAAAAACAGTATGTTTACGATTTTTTAACGATATTTCCTGAATATTCTGAAAAATCGGGAGAATTTGATAAAAATCGGGAGACCAGGAGATTGCATGAATTTTCGGGAGACTCTCGGTAAAATCGGGAGAGTTGGAATGTCTGATTACACCATAATTTAAAGCTTGGTTTTCATATGGTTCTAACTGTCATGCACTGTTGCAAGTTAATTTTGTTCCTATAGGGATTGTACAAGCAGCCGGTGTCATTTTTAAAAAGACAAACTGTTGCCATGCTGCCGTTTTTTTGTTTTCCATTAAAAAATAACCATCAGAACATATTTTAGTCTGCCATAACTATGATGGAGATAGAACTTGAGTTTATCTCGACGATACTGTTGTGAACTGTTGCCAGCGTGTTGCGATCAAGACTTTTTTTCACGTTTCCATTTAGTTGTGAACACTACACTCGACGACACTAATACAGCATGTTTGTGACAATTTGGTCGTTCCAGAAAAGATCCATACCCCCACAGAGGAAATTTTTGCTGTCCGAAGGGGGAGGGAGGAAAAATGTCTTAGGATGTCCGAAGGGGGTGGGGGGGGGAGAGGAAAAATGTGTTAGGATGTCCGAAGGGGGGGAGAGAAATGTGGTGGATATGTTTGACTGAAGGCGATTTAATGAGCACACAATTTTTATCAGCTATATGTAGCTCTTGAACACCGGAACGTTTATGTAACAGCAATAATTATACATCTACGTAACTCGTAAGCAAAATAAGCGGCCCACTTTTGCATGCATGGCCACCAAAAACTAACTCGCTGTAACAGCGTATCCTGCATGTTGAGAATGAGTCGAAAATTGACACGCTTTATTTATATAAAAGTAAAGTTTTGCAGTTATTGTTCGTATATATAAGTTTGAATTATTCAAGTGTTAAAAATAATAGTTATTAAACTGTTGCTCGAATTAAGAGACTGCAATGTGAACTGAACTCAAAACAATTTGTTTTAGTATATAGTCAATAAAGCTTCCTGGCGAGGTGCGTGTCTAGAAAATAGAAATGGCTTTCATATTAAGGTCTCTGGGGCGACGTTAAGGAATGCAGTAATACTAAAAAATGCATTAATTTAACATGTAAGTAAACATAGCAACGCTTGTCAATCAATCGCAAGCACTGAGGTTGCAAGTTACATCGAATTTTACTTGAACGAATTTCGAAGTGAATTTCTGCAAATTATCCGACAAAACCTGCCACATGTTTGTGTTTGCAAGTCACAAGAAGCCGCCAAGTGTTCCGCCACGCCGGAGCTATTTGAAAACAGCGTAGAAAAGTCGCAATAAGCCATCGCTAATTCACTCTACGCTGGAGCGAAATCGTTTGAAAACTTTCACGTCACTTTTGCCGTAACAATTTGAGCACAGTTTCTAAACAGAGCGAGGTGAACACGGCGGAGCGCTTGATAGCTTCGTGTGAACACAAACGTGTAAACTCGAATGCTTTTCAGTTAAATTTCTTGGGTCTATTTGAAATATTTTGGGTTTACACGAGTGCTAATTCAATTTGTAAACAAACTGTAATGGCGTAGTGTGAACACACATAAATTCGGCCCGCATTAGTTCGCTCGCGCGTAGTGTGAACGTAGTCTAATTTTGGGTGACGTTTTCAAACGGCAAGGTAGCCTTTAGAAAAATTTAGAAATGGTGGATGTCCAAAGGGGAGGGGGGTAATTTTGGGCTTTGATGTCCGGAGAGGGGGGGAGGATGAACCATTCAAGGATGTCCGAAGGGGGGGAGGGGGTTATTTTCGATTTCCTCTGTAGGGGGGGGTTGGATCTTTTCTGGAATGACCCATTATGACCACATGGAAACCACTCAACCAGACTTAAAAACATACTATTTTTCTTAATTTTAGTTATGTGATAATCTATGAGAAAGGCTATCAGTCATCTAGTGTTGGACTTAGTTCTGTGACGACAAAACTCAAGGGAACAGCTTTGACTAATCTGTCGATAAAATTTCCTGTCACAGTCGATGGTAAAAACGAATCAGGCACAATCTTTGATGGTCCTCGGATCTGGGATTCCTCTGATTATGTCATACCTCCGGAGGTAATTGCTGAAAGTATAATTTGATTTCTACGAAATAAGAAAATTGTAACTCTGCTTAAACAACCTTCTGTTAATGTTGGCCTATTTCTAATATAGTCTTCTGTGGCCAACGTATTCGGCATTGGCAGTAATATACCTATCATAATTAATAGGGATGAGCCGATTAATCGGTAAATAATCGGCAAAGTAATAGGCCGTTTTTTAAATAATCGGTAATCGGCCGATTATTGCCTGATAATCGGCAAATAATTGGCCATAAGACTTTCTGCAGCTGCCGATCACATGCTAAAATACTGAATACAAGCGAGTAGATTTTCACATTTTGTTGCAAAACCTGTGTCTTTTGTCTCAAGCGAAGTGAAGCTGGGAACATTTCCACAAAAAAAGGCAGCAGACTAGCTCCGCATAGCTGACAGTGCCTTGTTTTTACACCATAATCTGCCAAAACTAAACTTTAACTATTGACATTGACATGATACAATATTTAATTCTTGAATTTGCTGATACATGACCTTGAAAAGTCCTTAAATTTGACTCTTCCTCACATGTATGAACCCTGGAGAGGAAAATCAAGCGCTCGAGCTTCGGTGGCAAAGTGGTTAGCGCACTTGCCTTTCGCCTCTAAGGTTGCAGGTTTGAATCTCAATGAGGACTTCTCATTAGGCAGGTATAATAGTCGGACCGGATCGCCAGTCCGCGTCGGATCGGATTGCCAGTCCACGTCGGATCGTGCAGGTATAAAAGTCGGACCCGATTGTGATCCGGGTCGGATCATGTAGGTATAAAAGTCGGACCAGATCCATAGATCACCGAATCGCTAGTCCAGAATTAAAGGAAATAAAATATTGATCAGTAAGGCAAACTGATGCAATAATTTTCAAAAAAGTGGTCTATAAAAATCTAATAACATAAAATGTTTTACCTTTGTCGCCATCCATTTTGCAGGTTTGCCACGCTGTTTCAAGGCCTGGTTCCACGAGCACTTTTTCTCGGCGAAATGCAAATTATTTCGCCTGTTTTTTTTGAATTGCGACTACTCGAATAAATTATTTTGTACTTGTTTGCTCACAACTGAAAAGAAACAGGCGAAGTATTTCGCAGTTCGCCGAGAAAAAGCGCCTGTGGAATCAGGCCTTGCCTTCACGCTGTGTAAATAACGCGGGAAAGAATGCAAACTTCCTTTTGTGTAAGTAACATTTCCCTGAATATCCTGATATTTCTAAATTTTCTAAAAATCCGACCTAATCCGACTTGGTCCAACCTGATCCGACTCGGACCACAATCCGGTCCGACTTTTATACCTGCCTCTTCTCATTGTGACTCGAACCCAGTCCTAATGTGAAAAGAGTAAGGCAACGCTCTGCCGAAAGTTGTGGGTTTTCTCCGGGTACTCTGTGTTTTCTCCCACAGGGAAAGTTGACAGGGTGGGTTAGGCACATAAGGTCTGGAGGCAGATCATTAATGAGGTATGGACTAATAGCGGCTGGTCAAGCGCCATTTGTAAGCTCAAGATCTACCTCGGTCTGCTTCACGTCAGTTCGGTTGATCTATCTAATCATAATGTAAACCTTCTGCAATTCAGTGTATGCTGCCATGGAAGTTCAAAAATATACTAATTCAACTGCCATTTGTGTGGGTAGTGATCTGTGATCACACGATTACTCTGTTTACACTTGAATTCGCAATCGCTGTCATACTGTACCCATGCTTTTAAACTTTACTGGAGATTAGGTTGCCTAGTTAAAACTTTTGATATTTTTGAGATGCAAAAAATCAAATATTGATATTTTTGAAACATTGATATTTATCGAAAATATTGATATGGATATCGCATCACCATTGTGTTTTCAGGAAAATGATGCAGTTTTTGTGATGACAAACATGATCATAACACCACGACAGAAACAAGGAAAATGTCCTGAGGATGACCAATATGTCCAAGCTAGATGTGTCCTTAATAATAATGGTTCTGATTGTACAGAAGGAGAGGAAGTTATTACAGGACATGGTTAGTAGGCCAGTGTTTCCAATCATGCTGTGTGGTACTACGGATGTCACCTGGTTTGCAAGTTATTATTTTACATGGAAGGACAAATGTCTGACCAAGTCAAAAATTGGTCGGATGTTTATCGATTTGTTTCGGACAACAAAAATTTTTTAAAATTTTTTACAAATTAGCATGTTGTTTTTTCAGTGCCGTAGCAAGCTTGATAATTGGGAGGGGGAATATATATTCATATATTTGTGTTCACAGACCATAAAAACAATCGATTTTAAAAGAAATTAATAATGCAGAACACGTATACGAATAATTATATGAATATCCCCCCCCCCCCCAAATTATCGAGCTTGCTACGGCACTGTGTTTTTTGCTTGGTCATGTTAGTCTGCACTGCAATGCATCTAAAACTGAGTATGTATCTACCAGTCCTAATGCATCAGTAAATTATAGTTCCGGTTATATACACAACTTTAATTTCTACCGTGTTATATACAAAGGTGATGTAGATTTCTAATTAAATCTTACGGCTTAATGCAGCAAGAAATTGTGGAGAAGTGCTGTCTATATTGCTTTCTTGTTGGTTTCATAAAAAAATGTTGAATAAACAATTTTTTTAGATTGAAGATTTTTTGACCAGCCCAAATTGGTCGGGAAAAGCTGTAAAACAGTCATAAAAAGCTTTGATCGGACAAAATGTAAAATTTGGCCGGACAATGTGCGACATAATTTGACCAGCAGTAATTTGCAGGCTTGTGTTAATGAAGTGTGTGAATGCATAAAAAAATTTACTTGTCTAAGGTCAATGGGTTAAAACATACAGTAACTTGCATTACAACACCCCAATGCCTCAGAATACTATACAGAACTCCTTCTCCATTGTATTTTGTGTTAGCACCATTCATCTTGATTCGTCACTCAGCCGGTGCCATAAACAGAAGCAGTCACCCCCTGAATGTGCACCATTTTGAGTATTTCCAGGGGGGGGGTGACTACTACTGTTTACAGTACTTGCTGACTGACGAATCATGACGAATAGCGCTTACAGTATGCAAAAAGCAATGTACATTAGATGGACTTCTGTATAGTATTCTGTGCCAATGCATCTTACTGTACTTGTATTTACTCTGTGAACACCAAATTATTTTACTCTGTTTAATGCCAAATGACTATTAATTCATAAATATGACATCATAATCTCAGTCGACCGAGTAAAAGTGATGTCATTCATATACCTGATAACGATTATTGGTCAATCACTAAATTGGATAATTTGCTGAATGATATAAATTGTTTTAATTATTAGGACAACACTAAATAACAGATTCCAGGTGAAATATACTAAATACTTTATATTTATGTCAGGCATTATGACCGGCGAATGTGTAAAGCTTGACAGGCCACGTACAGCCAACGACACTTATAATGGAATGTGTGAAATATACGCCTGGTGTCCTGTGGAATATGACGTGCTGCCCATGCCAGGGACTAATTCTGGTTATCTGTTAAAAAAGTTTGTATACTAAGTTTATTTTGTTCGTAATACCATTTGGATCTAGGGCTTCAAACTTCAACAACAAAAAACATGGCGCCCAACTTCGCCATGGCAAATCCGTCCAATGCACGTGCACATGACTGGAAAATCCTTACAGTAGCTACCATACTGTAAAGTGTAAACCTCCGAATATAAGCCCTCCACCTTGTGTATAAGCCCACCGCATTTATAAACGCTCACCTCATTCCAAATATATAAGCCTTCCCCCGAATATACCCCCACTCCTGGAATGTAAGTCCCCTGAATAAGCCCAGTAGGCCACTACATTATTTGTCTTTTAATATAGCAGAGAACAATATTTAAAAACTTCAAATGTCATTGTCTTTATAGCTTACTATTTTAATCATACGGTCTGTATAACCTATAGGTGTATTTTAAGACAAAACATTTTTGTCACAATTGTTTTAGAGATAAATGCTTACTGCAACAGGCTATAAACTTCACAATATTGATAAAGAATACTGTACAGTTTCCAAGCTTTGGAGTCCGAGTGTAAGTATTCATTGTTACCTCGTTTATTTGCTGCAGTTAGTGCTATAAATGATATTGGCCGTATTTACTGTATGTTAAGGCGGCTTTCCAGTCCTCACACGAAGCTCCTTGCAGCTCGCTGCAAGTGCTTGCATCTAATTAAAATTAACCGTTTTGTATTGTATTGTGATTGGATGAAAGTGCTCATGCATGCACTCGCAGCGAGGAGCTTTGTGCGAGGACTGGAAAACCACCTTTAGAAGACGGCAGGGCCGCCGAGAGCTTCGCGGGGGCCCGGGGCAAAAATTTTTTTAGGGGCCCGGCCCTATTGCAAAAAAATTTTCCGGAAAAAAATTTTTCGGGCAATAATTTCTTTTTAGGTAAAAAATTTTTCAGGACAAGTTCGTTGTAATTGCTTTAATACCAAATTTCGGTACTTTGCCTCCAAAACACATATCGGCCCGAAAACAGAAATATTTCGCCCGAAAAAATGACTGGGGCCCAACATTAAATTTTTAGGGGCCCTTGGGGCCTGGGGCAATTTGCCCCCCCTCCTCCACCTGCCTCTCCCCCCTCTCGGCGGCCCTGGAAGACAGCTACAACGTCTGAGACAACTTAAACGTCTGAGACGTCCAAGGTCATTAAGTGTGTTCTGGCTTCGATGGCACGGTTGTCTAAGTATTTATTTCAATAAAGTGAAATTTGAATTAAAAATTTTATTGGTTGGATATACAGTATGCTCTTTTATTTTGACTTAAGTTTTGTCTTTGGGAATGTATAAAAATTAACTTATGGAGCGGTTTTGATTGAAAAATTTAATCTACAGGGTGTTCCAAAAAAAACTGCAAAACCATTGAAATAACGTATTGTTAAAATTTGAATGCGGCCCTAGCACTAAGCTGAACACAAAGATGTATAAAATATTGACAAGGGTGCATATATTCAATATTGACTTATTAAGAAATTAAAATTATCATATCTTTGTAAAGTGCACGATTTTCTGCCCCAGGGAATTTAAAACAGCTTCTTAAACGGTTTCTCTATGCATAAAATTTACTTACGTCAAGCTTTGATGCACATGTGGGTTCAGCAGAGTGCTGAGGCATTCAAATTCCAACAATACGTTGTTTCAGTAGTTTTCAGGTTTTTTGGGAGCACCCTGTATACATATTCAATGACTCTGGGGAATCAAATTCAATGCAATGTTCCAAGAAAGAAACTTCGCTTGTGTTTTATAAATATATGCCTTGTTTTTAAGAAAGGACCAAAGATAGTGTAATAGCTCTTTTCGTGTTTAAGTTATATACTAAATCAAACAGGAGAATTTTTTGAGCCACCCGGTACAGTATATTGCACTAACTGTATATCACAAAAGGTTTGTCTGTACTTACTGTACTTTGTGTATTTTTCAGACGTAACATAAATGACAATCAAAACAAGTCGTACTTGACAAGATGTCAATACAGCTCGGACAAAGAAAATCGACTATGTCCAATTATTAAGTTGAAAACAATTTTTGATGAAATTTCTGATACTGCCTTTGAAGATGCCGCGATTAAGGTAAGTTTAAAATGCATGCATCTTCAATTGATGTTGACCATTTTGAAATGAATATATAACTGGAACGCTATAGTACTTCTTTTAATAAGTAAGCATATTTTATATTCTTTTTAAAGTAAGCTTTGGGCAAACTAGGATACATTGTTGCGGAAACATTTGTGATTCTCAATGTTTCCTCAAAAGTTTCCAAGTTTGCCCACCCATTTCCTACCTAGGCTTGGGCGGTTTTGATTTACTGGTAAACTGTCCGGCTTAAAACCGATTAAACCGTAAAACCGGTTTTTGTGACTTTTTCATTTTCTAACGTAGGATTTTTTTTGAAATTCTAATTTGACAACATTTTCATCAGACCTACGTTTCGCCCTTTCGTCCACCCGCGAATTTTAGGGCGGCGAAACGTAGGTCTGTTTTCAGGCTAGCGCAGTAAAAACTACCTTAGGTTTTCCCGCAGAAGTGAGACCTTTGTACTGTATGTACTTACTCTATTGTTCGGGTTACAGTGACCGAGTGTCGACTGTCGATTTACTTGACTGTTCGCAAAAACATTTTCATTGATCTCTTGGGATCCCAGAAAGTAGGCTGTTGCGGTATTTGAAAAAACCGAAAACCGATACCGGAAAAAAATACCGATATATCGATATTTTTCGCGATTGTATTTTGCTTAATTTTATGCAAAATCAGCTTAATTTTATGCAAAAGTTTCTGTTTTCAAATTATGCCAAACAGCCACGATATAACAACAGCTTTGACTCGTCGGATGCGTGATATTTTCAATAAAGTGTGAGCCAGTGATCAGTAGCCTGTGAAACGTCCGCTTTAAGAATTGAAAATGCATATTACTTATTAGCATTGATTACCGCACAGGGTGAATCGTGCATGTGTGATATTTTTGAATGGGAAATTGTTTCAAAACATTTTATTCAACTGCGAATTCGAAACAAACGTCGTCCTATAGCCTAGTTTCCATTTGGTCGTTGGTTGTCGCTGGCACGACAATTAAGTGACTGATGTAATATAAGTGTCAACAAAACTTTACAAAACTTTGCAATCATTAAGACTGGTTTGCATATAACACACAAAAAGACTATTATTATATTAGACTATTTCACATCTACCGCTTGTCGTGCCAGCGACAACTAACGACCAAATGGAAACTAGGCTTATCTGACCGGATAAACGTCGAATGAGGTATAGTTTTTGTTTTTCTAAAACATTTGTATATCTACCGTTGTTCACGTTCTAAAAATCCATTTTTTGGCAAGCGCAAAATGACTTATTACACCTTGCAACGCCAACGTATCAACAAACACGTTTTAGATCTGCTCTAACCTTAATTTACGGATTTTACCGAGTTTATTTTTACGGATTTACGGAGTTAGCACATTGATCGTCTTTGTCCTTCTGAAATAACTCCAATCAGCGCTTGAAAAAGCTTGATATAGGACGTTTAAATATACAAATGTAAACGTGATATCGATAATACCGAAAAATATCGATATGCCGATATATCGAAAATTTCAATATCGAGTAATCGGTATTTATAAAAACCGATAATTATCGGTATATCGATATACCGCAACAGCCTACCAGAAAGTAAAGTATTTTTGCACCCCTCATGAACCCACCAAATAAATGTTGCATTTTGGGACTTACGTTGTTTGCTTTCGTTGTATTCTCAGGGTGGGATTGTTGCAATTAGAATCAAATGGGACTGTAACTTGGATCACGACATCAGTGATTGCCTTCCGCATTACTCATTTAGCAGGTAAACAGTACTGTACTGTGTGATTGTTTAAATGTTCGTTCCTGAGCTCGCAAATCATGATCATGCAGGGGTTACCAGGGTGCGATAATTCAAATTTTTTAGCCGTACCTGAATTCTCCAGGGCACGTTAGTATACAACGTCACTCTGCATGGGGAATGATTTTGCATTTATTGCTGTAAATATGCCTCGAGTATAATTGTCTCGTGCATCAAGCCAAGTGCCACGAGATTTTCCGTCGGTTACTTTGTTTGTATACTTGAAATATCAATTCTGCTCTTCTTCTTCCACTCTAAGCTTTCAAACAATGTTATTTTTCCTCAATCTGGTCTACTTTATACAGCCTGGTTATTTTCGAAAACGACGTATACCACTTCGTGAAACCGATTTTAGTTATTTGCCATCTTAAATCGTGAAGTTGAAGTTATCTTGTCAAAGAATGAAAATAGTGATAAATTATAATTTGGTCACAGAGCTCAGTTGTGTTGCTATCTAATCAATAAACACTTATGGTCTAGTTAATTTGGATGACTTTTACGCCTGTATGCTGACAGCTCACTCACACTCAAAGAGTGAAGGTTCAATCTGAGCTTACCTTGAGTGTCGGTGCTGTTTAGGGTGAGTAGTCACATAGTAAGATACGACACCAACCCTCCAGCTATTCAAAAACAGCACTGGTACTCAAGGGAAGCTCACAATGAACCTCCACTCTTTGAGTGTGAGTGAGCTTTTACAATACAGGCGTATAAGACTCCCCATAGATCGCTCCCATGCACAGCCTACTCTATCAACACAGCCATGCACCTATTCAGAATAATTCTGAAAGCCCTGTAATAGTAGTATTTTCAGTTTAGAATTTATTAATGTGTAATGTTTCTTGAAGGGAAATGGCAATATATTTTTTTTATTTTCTCATTTGAAAGAACTTTTAAGACTATATGCCCCTATATAATACTCTTTCATCATTTTTTCGTATCTTGCTTACTGTACTTCTACAAATAATTTGATCGAAAGGAATGAAATATCCGCCATCTTCATTTTTTGTAGAGATGCACGTCACGTCACAACAGGGTTCGCGCAAAATTTTTATCTGTAGACAACCACTAATCGTTTTGCACTCAAAACCTTACTCAGCAACGAATACACTTTTATATGGTTAATCCCTGTTGTGACATCACCAAAACTACCATTAATGCGATCAAAAATTTATCCAGGATGGCATTACTTCAAGTGAAAATATTAATTTCAAGAACCAAGCAAGATATGAAATAGTTTCAAAAGTTCTTTCAAATGAAGAAAATAAAGATTTGTATTGCCATTTCCTTTTAACCACCAATTATTTCTGCTTCAGAATGGATAATGCAGACGCCTTAATAGCTAAAGGATACAATTTCAGGTAAGAATTAATGTACTTATACGCTTTTGAAAAAAAAAGCAAAACCAATACTGAGACTATTTCAATAAGTTCATTCGCGTTTGATATTTTTCTTGTGCTGTTGTAGATTTGCAACATACGATGTTGAAAATAATACCCAATATAGGACATTGATAAAGGCATATGGTATAAGATTTGTCATATTGGTTGATGCCAAGGTACAGTATGATTACTTCAAACATTGAAGTCAAACTTTATTTTCAATTGGTATATAGCTACGAGTGAATGAGAAAACTTTTCTCAAATGTTCTTGTCTTTCAGGCAGGCAAATTTGACATAATTCCGCTACTTCGTAATCTGGGAGCTGGATTAGCCCTACTTAGTGTGGTATGTTGAAAGGAAATACTCAACTCTTAATTTTTCATTTCAAACATGACAGTACCCTATATAAATGCATATGGCAGTACTCCCAATATATAACAATTTAATCAAAATTTAATGTTTAGTAACTGGTCTATGACTGCCTTTGTTATGGTAAGGTCCGTCTGTGAATGTTGATGCATGACACCTACTGTGAAGAAGCCTTACTGCCTTAGGCTTTTTTCGAAGAGCGTCTCCCCCTAACAACAACAGCAACAGCAACAACAACAACAACAACAACAACAACAACAACAACAACAACAACAGCAGCAGCAGCAACAACAACAACAACAACAACAACAACAACAACAACAACAACAACAACAACAACAACAGCAGCAACAGCAACAACAACAACAACATCAGCAGGGATTGGGGACCAGTTCTTGGTCCAAAAAAAAGGCAGACATTTTCCTGTATACGGAATAGAATACAGTACCTCACCACAATAGAATACTGTCCTTTATTCTTCCAGGCAACAGTGATGTGTGATATCTGTGTGTTGTACTTACTGAAGAAGAAATATTTCTACAGAAATAAGAAATATCAATATGTCGACGATCCCGATGCGAGCACGAGCGAAGACGAGGCAAGTTTTCCAGTACGTTTATTGAATACTGCAGCATATATATGAGGGCAGTGCAGCAGTGTCAAGTAACGAAGTAAATGTACTTCGTTTCTGTACTTGAGTACTGTTTTTTGAGAAGTGAGCATGTAACAAAGTAAACTTTTTCTGGAGTACTTTTACTTGGAACGAAGTCGTTTTAAGAAGTAACGTTTTACTTCGTTATTTTCATTTTGTGGCGAAGTATCTCGTTACTTTCTAACTTTTGTTTAATTTTACGTGATTTATTTCTGATTTATTTTAATTTCGGGATAGGTAATACAACCTCTACATGCGTCTGGGATCTCTCGTTTGTGACTTACTTGTAAGCATTATTTATTTAATGGATTTCGTATATCTTCAACGGGGTCTGGAAAGTAGACCATGCCGTGAAATATTGTATATTCGGTGCACGCATATAATGCGCGTGCTGTTTAGTGTCTTTTGTATGTCAATCCATTGGAGAAGTCCCCCTCCCCCTCTACACGCTACAGACAATAGTACTTTTACTTTCACTTTGTACTTCAAGTATTTTTTAAGGATACTTTGTACTTTTTACTTAAGTACGTTTTGCTTCCAGTAATTTTTACTCTTACTCAAGTCATTTTATTGTTAAGAGGCAATTTTTTCAGTGTCACGTATTCGCAATGAAAAGTGTTCAAAACCTAAAATCTTTTTGGCGTTCCTCTCAAAATTACTTTGTTTTAGCTTTATTCTCTAGTTTATAGAGTTAGCTACCTTTTTAAATGCATCTGCCGGTTGAGAAACATAAAATAATAGTTGAAAATTGTCAATTAAAATATAATTATCAGTGATGCTTTATAAAACTGACGCCATATTTACAGTCATATAAGCAAAACTTACTGAACTTCAGACATCATTTTCTCAGTTTGGCGTATCATCTAAAATCTCTTCATTTTAGCATTATTTTACAGATAAAGCACTAAACATACTAAGTTTGTTTGCCGATTGAGAAACGTATCGAAAAATAAAAATTTTGAATTTAGACATAACCTCAAGTGATATATTATACGCATTATTTTTGAGCGCGTGTTACGTAACAAACAAAAAAAATCTATTAATTACTTCTACTTTTACTCGAGTACAAATTCAAAGTAATTTAGGCACCACTGGGGCAGTGGGTACGTCTTCCATTTTAACTGTTTCTAAAGGTAGGATCTTCCAAAAATACAAATTTCCTGTGTATTAAAGTCAAATAGAAAACTTCCTGTATATGTATAGATGTCATGCAGGGAACGTATCGTGCCGATCATTGTGACAAACTTCGATCTTGGCTTTTGGAATCAAAACCATTTTGGAATTTTTAAGCAATAACTAAATTATGTTTGTGATGTTACTCTGAGTGTGTGTATCCACACCGGACAGATCAGAGTAACATCACAAACATCATATTCACCTGAGTACATGCATCACATTAACAACACAGAAAAAGTAAGTAAATTATACTGCAGCATGTATTTCTCTAAGGGCAGTGGGCACGTCTTCCATTTTAACTGCTTCTAAATGTAGCATCTTCCAAAAATAAAAATTTCCTGTGTAAGTCGAATAGAAAACTTCCAGCATGTGTAGATTTCAGAGAACTTATTGTGTCGCACATTTTGATAAACTTCAATTTCAGCTTTTGGAATCAAAACGCTTTTTGGAATTTTTTAAGGTGATCTACAGTCCGATCTGCGCATGTGCACAAATGAGCCCACTTTTTATGATACAAACAGATTAACTATGTTTTGAGTTCTTGAAAAGCCTGATTGTTGTTTCTTGATCATTTATTATACTCTAGAAGCAAGCTTGAAAATATAAATAGTTGTCGAATAAAGCTCAATATTTTGGACACAAAAATGTAAACAAAGGCTTTGTTTACATACGGACTGTAGATCACCTTTAAACAATAGCAAATCATATTGCATTCCAGTATATGAGATGACAACAATTTCCTGCAAGGTGTAAGAACATTTTGTGCCAAGATATTTTGTTAAACATTTCCTGGTAGCGGTGCTGCTGGCGCTGCCAGACATTTTCGAGCACTGCAGTTAAGTCAGCATCAGTCCTTGTTCTGTCATATTTCCCCGCCATCCGTAACATGTCATGGGTTGATATCAAGATTTTGTTGGCATCTCACGTATATTACATTTCTTACTTTTTCCACTGTCTACAGTACAGTACAGTACAGTACAGTACATTGTATGCAATAACAAATCCCCTTGTCTAGCTCCTACTGTTTCATAATATGTCAATCATTAGAGGGGTGTGTCTACAACACTACATGAATAATAGTTATATAAGTTGAATGGTTTTGGAGATGGAAATTAAATTTCCATTTTAAAATTTCCATTTACAAAACCCTCCTTCAATCGAATGAGATGCCAACAAAATCTTGATATTTACCAGTGGCGAAGCCAGCCCGACAATTTGGTCATGCTATGCAAGTTATAAATCATTATTCATTTCGTATGAACACGGAAATATTTGCATAGCATGACCAAATTGTCGGGCTGGCTTTGCCACTGATATTTACCAATATCTTAACATGGCAGTACCCTAGGATATATACAAAAACTTGTGTGGTTAGAGCTCGATAACTGGACTCTGTAGATCAGTTGGTTAGAGCGCTGCACCGGAATCGCAGGACTGCAGGTTTGATTCCTGCCAGGGACTTAAGTTGCATTTTTCGCGGCTGTTCCTGGTTAGGTGTAATAAATGTATATAAATTTCCACTCAATAATTCCCATCTACATGCAATACCCTTCAACATGCCATGGGCCATTTCTTTTTAAACTTAGACAAAAACTGAAGAACGCCCCGACAGGGATCAGTACGAAAATATGAACGACTAATAACGGTATAGATATAGCGTATAATATGTTAATTAGATGGTACTGCACATGACCTTTCCAAGCCCAAGCCGTCTCAACATTAAACCGTAATTCCATATAGACGCTGTGATTTTTGCCCAGTTTCCAATTTGGCTACGCTTATCTTTAAAGGCACAGTTCAGCCTTTTGATTGATGGTTTTTAAAGCGCATTTCAGCCCTTTTATATCATTGAAAAAAAAAAACTAACTAGGAAAATCAATTATGCATAATTCAAGATCCGTAAACTCAGTGTTTTTAACAATAAAAGTTGTTTTAAAATGTTAAAAACATCAAGTTTGCTGATCTTGAATAATGTTTAATTGATTTTCCTACTTAGTTTTTTTAAATTAAGAGGGCTGAAATGCGCCTTAAAAACAATCAGTCGAAAGGCTGAACTGTGCCTTTAATAAAAGTTCAATAGCCAACTCGCCTTCATGGACAAAAGTTGTGAAAAGTTACATTGCTGATTATCGTTTTCTTTTCAGATGAAGACAAGCGATGGCTCCGAAAGCCAAAAGGGAAACTATGGTACTTTGGAGAACGAAAAATGAGAAAATGCGGAGGAAAATGAAGAATTATGACAGGTTTGAATGCCGCAATTGTATTTGATTGCGAAGGTAACTATATATAAACTAATCGTAAAATTCAGAAACAAAATTGAGGGATTTTTAAATATATTTAGTAAATTAATTGAGAAAATCAATTTGCTGAAAGGTTACTGCGAAAGGTTCAAGTTGCTTTACATAGGTTGCTGTAACTACAAAAGTAGCTCCAATCGCGGGCGGTGCCGAATGTAAGGTTCTGTATGTTGGATATAACTAAAATAAAAATAGACCACATAGTTGTCGATAGACCTTTATGTACTACTAAAACTGTCTGTACCAGTATAGGTAGTAGCAATGTGAAAATGCTGTGCTGAGTGGTTATATTACTACCTTAAAAAATAAGCAGAAACTCGACGTTTCGAGCGAAGGCCCTTCGTCAACAGTTATGCACTACGTTTGTGAGTCAATTTAAAATTTGATGTTAGTAAAAATTAGATACCAGAAATTTGAAGGTTTTATTTTGAAAACTGTGGTACTAGCGCTATTTTTAAAAACAATAATATGAACTTCGAAATTTTATCAGAAAATATATGGGGATTGAGGCTTCACAACGGCGCCATTGCCACAGTTTTTAAAATATTATAGTCTTCAAATTTTATGTACAATTTGGACCTGCTGTTTTCATTTCTGACATATTGTACAGGGCAGGAAAAACGAATTTTCGTCCTGGTAGCACAACCTGGAGACAAAAATTTCCTGCAGACCAACGGAGTAATTTTTGTGCTAAATCTGCATGTGCATAAACATAGTGTTCTAGCTGACCATGGTTTTCAATTCAAGGAATATTGTCTGTCAACCATTCTGTCAACCATATGTTGTTGCGCCCATAGTGGGACATGTTAAGGTTTCTTTCAAATTTTCAATATAGCCAATCTTCATTCAAACGAATTTCCTGCAGCTGTTTAACATTTCCTGCGAGCAGTGCTCGCCTATTTTTTCCACCCCTGATATTGTAGTATCAAATTTCAAATTGACTCCAAAAGCGTGATGAAGGTCTATTAATTTGGTGTTAAGCATGCTAGAATAGCACGCAACCCATTTGGAAGTAAATTACAGTCAATCAATCAATATTTATATTAGATTACAATAACTAAAAGTAAATTATATAATCATAGATTGTCATATAACTGATGTCATTAATGAAGAAATATTGCATATATCCCGAATTATCAAGGTCAAGATAATTGTTACTAACGAATACAAAGGCTAAGATTGTATAAAAAACACTTACCGAGACCTTGATAGTTCAAGCGGATAGCACAAAAACCGAGTTTAATAATTATTTTTCATCGTATTGTTTAATACTTAGATTCGGACTTAAAGTGCACCTAACCCAAATTATTTTTATCATCTCATTCTTAAGAACTTCGGAAATGATATGATAACTTATTTTGAAGACTTTCGTTTGCTCACTTTGTTTCTGAGATAATTTCAGTTTGTTTGGTATGCAAATATCTGGAATTTACGTCACAAATGCGCAATGATTTAAAGTAAAAGCTTGCATGTATATGTCGTATTCACTATCGAGTTTAATTCATTAAAATGAAGTTTGGAGTTGTGAGAGGATTACATACCTACATGTAAAACACCATTTAGCCTTTTTTTATTTCATAATATTTAAATGTACCATTCTTTGATCAGTCATTCATATGTGACGTAAATTCCGGACATTTGCATATCAATAAAACTGAAATAACTCGAACAAAGTGAGCAAACGAAAATCTTCAAAATAAACAATAATTGAGGTTAGGTGACTTTAAATAACAATACAAACTGAAATGCCATGAAACGTTGTTGCTTAGCGAATCAAAAGACACATATATAGTGTTTATAATGTATCAATAATAAAGTTTTAGTTAATTTCACACACTCGGTAATATAGATTCGATGAAATTAGTGAATTAAATTTCTAAATCTTGGACTTTCTTTAAGATTGTCAATCGGCCTTCTGATATGTTTTTAACCATTACTGTTCGTGTTGTCTCTTCTGATTTGTTCAGTCTTGACAATTCCTCTGATATTTTTTTTATCTTTTCTGAGAAGACACTGGCCGCCCTTTATAGGAGGGAAAGACAGCGATTAAATTTTTGAAACAATTGTAATTGTAACATTTATATAACTGTAATTTATACGTCACCTTTTTAAAGTTTCTTTCCATTCCTTTGGTATCTCCTGTAAATCAACTGAAATTTAAACACAAGATGTAAGCACATTTACGCACAATGCTTTGTGGAACTAAGGGAGCGGTCATTAAGTATACGTGTCATGGGGACTGGACGCTATTTCGGGGCGAGAATGGGAAGGGGCTCATGAAGCGAAAGCTCTCTTCCTGACAGGGGGACCAATTTTATAAAACGGAAAAGGGCTTGAAACAAAAATACATATATAGAGTTTATTAACCCATAAAGAGGCAAGGGTGCATCTTCAATGGTATAATTCACTCTCCCAAATAAACTATCTCGCATTGTCCAGAATAAAATTTTATAAAAGTGCACACATTCCCAATACAAAAGTAAATATAAATGTTAATATGCCTATAGCACAAAGCAGCGTCTTATTATAAGCAAGGGTATGAACTTTTTTCTGATTATTTGAGGGGGTGCGAAGTAATGTTTTGTATGAGTCGGACTGTCATAATTCATGAATAGAGCGTTTGCACATGACGTCGCACAGTTCCAATTCAAAATAGTTTTACTTATAGACTTTTGTTGAGTTGGTCCCTGGGGAATGAGTGCAAAAGCTCTATACACTAACATATATGTACATTATATGCATGTTGTATACGTTCTTCTCAAACTAAAAATACGTAAATACAAGAATATTGCTTCGTCTTTTCTCTCTCTCTCTCTCTCTCTTGCTCTGAAACGCATCAGAATATAATAATTGCAGGTCGGCAACGTTTTGCCAACCTAAAACGACGCTACTATAGGAACTTACACCAGTCTAAACAACTCTCGTCACAACTTGAGCCATCGCTTTCTGATTCATCTATTCCCCAGTAATCCCCTATTGCATCACTCCCAGAACCATCCGTACCCCCTGTCGTATCGCTATCACCCTCTGAATCCCCATCTTCTGAGTCCACTTCGCATCCATTATCGTCTTGACTACCGCTATTATCAACCGTTACCCCTCTGTGTTTGGGTAGTATTTTGCCCAATGAGTTTGAGGTAGTAGTTTGTCCATTGCTGTCTTTCATGTCTTTGTTTTCAATTTCTACATTATTTTCCTTGCTGTTTTTCGTGTTTGATTCAGTTTTAATGAAGTCAGGATCTTTTTTCGTGAACGTCGTATCGTGTATTATCTGCAGAAATTTTAAAATAAAATACTCGAGTTACTTGCAACTTTGCATCGAAATTGAGTGGTTAAAACATTTTACAAAACTGGAAGTTTGCAGTCTCAGCTAGCAATGCCATACGTTTCCCAAGTGGGCGACAAGCATTTCGAGAAATTTTCGAAAATTGGAAGAACATGTATTTTGGTCATTTTTTATCGCAATGATTCCATAAAGGTGTCAAATAACAGCTAAAAGCCTGATCTTTATAAATACAAAAACAGAATACCTATATATAAACGTAATAATTGGATTATATTTTTTGATACACCCTCCCGTATAGCCTGCTTGCCGCCTGGAATTTCCAACCTCCCGTATGGTTCCATTCAAACTTTGCAGTATTTTGGTGAGTGCCGAAGATTCATGTGAATCATTGGTACAGTCAAACTTTGCAAAGGGGGGTTCTCGCGATGAGCGTGTAATTTTAGGGCATTTATCAAGAAGAATATCAGTGGGCAGAAAACGTTGAGCCCAAAACTTGGATGCCAGAAATAAAAATATTTGTTCGTGCTATGGTAGTTACTCCATGCGAAAATAAGATTCTCACGGATGCCTCTACTAAAATATATTTGACTTGCCTGAAAAAACGTGTATAGCTCTTGTTTTGTCCACGAGCATCCAGCCTCGATGCTAAAGACAAGCCCTTCGTCTGTATTTATATGACCCGTGGTATACTAAACAGAAAAATAATTAATGCAAGTTTTCTTCTGGTAAAATCATTCGCTACTATATATTATTAGAATAAATTCTCTGGTAAAACATTTCTAAAATAAACAAATTCTATATCAAAATTCTGTTTTTTTGTACCTGTTCGTGAAATTGAGACACCTTGGACTCCCATACATTGTCTGGTATTTCTAGCACGTCTTGAAAGACCTTCAATGGTATTTCAACCTTCGAGGGAAATATTATGATACAAGTCAAAGCGTGAACTAAGGTATAAGACTAAATTAAATACTGCATGGATAGCTCTATCAGTCCTAAACTGTTTTCTCTGGAGGTCCAGCAAGTGTTATTCCTAATTGTTGTACCAATGTGGACACGAGATACTTGACAAGTTTTTCTTGACAGTTGACAAGTTCTATTTGCTCATGTGTACTGGAAAAAATTGACAATTTTTTGACAAGGAAGATTTGTTCGTGTGTACTACGGCCGCCAAGGAAAACTTGACAAGTGTACAAGAATTACTTCTATGGTTTTGGCAAACAAAAGGCGGCCTTGACGCGAGATAAATGTTTAACAACATTCCGTGAACGCGAGCAACAGAACTTGTCAAGGATAACTTGTCGAACGTACACACGAGAAGGTAAAATTGTTGGGGAAAACTTGCTTGTCTGTCTGGGGTTTAAATTTCAACGATATATCGGGGTGTCCACCCTTTGTGAAGGTGAAATTCAAGGACTTTCCCAGGAGTTTCAAGGCCCCTTTTCAGTAAATTCAAGGACCTAGAACTGGGGAAAATCTTTGAAAATTGCACGGATTTGCTCAAAAATCACTAATGTTGGCGCAGCTGGAGCTGGAGGTTAAGGAAATTAATTCCAGGACTACCGATTTTCAAGAACTTTCCATTCCTGTTTTTTCCAATTCAAGGACTTTCCAGGATTTTCAAGGCCCGTGAACACCTGATATGTACATTTTATCTCAACGATATTCACCTCGTCAAAAGTGTTGGGAGGTTCTTCAATGAAGCCATAAGAACGTAAAAGATTGCAGTTATCCAGATTTCCATACGTATTGAATACTTCACCGCCCTACATAATAAATGCATGATATCATTATTATTCACTATTTCTCGCAGTAATTTTGAAAACGTAAAAAGTTTATTTTTTTGAAAACAACTAATTTTCAACGACGTGTGTTCCTAAGGCGAAGCGGAAATATATTGTCGGTTTTACGATATAATCTCTATCGGTTTGTATCAGCGAACATACGTAAAAACGTTGAAAAAGTTTTAACAGACCTGCAGCAGACTTGTAGCAATGCTGTTCCAGCAACTTGTCAACAGAATGTGCGAACTGCTTGTCCCAAGTTAATTGTTGAGCTAAACAGACTTGTTACAACTTGTTATCGTCCTTTAATTCAACAATTTGTCGACAAGTTGAAAGTGACAACCTTTTGGCAAATTGATGAAATAACAGCATTGTTACAACTTGTTGACAAGCTTGCTACAAGCCTGTTGCGAACACATCTTGTTGACAAGCAGAACTATTTCTCATATCTACCTTGTGAACCCGTTGCGTAGTGACCATACTTAGAAATTCTTCGCCAAATTCCAGGTGTGCATTATTGTCACTGATGTGATTTAAGATGTCGGCCATCGGGACCATAGCTGGCTTAGCATCAACACTGTCGCTGTCTGTAAAACTATACGCCATGACAAAACCTGCCAGACGCTTATATAGACCCAGAGTGTGGATCTTGGGACTGTAATAAAATATGAAATAATTTTTTGAAGAAAATAACTGTGGGATTTGAACTCGAGTTATTGTGGGTTCAATTCCCATATCGCGGTCAACTAATTGCACACATAAAAATCTCACAACTTGTCAACAAGACGTGCTCGCAACAGGCTTGTAACAACAACTTCTAACAAGACTGTTGAGCTCAGCAACCTTGTAGCAAGTTGTCAACAGGCCGTTGTCCTGTACATAGAGAAGTTGTTGGAACAGCATTGCTACAAGTCTGTTGCAGGTTTGTTACAACTTGTGCGTTTTTACGTATGTTTACCGCTACACACGTAAAAACGCACAAGTTGTAACAAACCTGCAGCAGACTTGTAGCAATGCAGTTCCAACAACTTCTCAACAGGGTGTGTTCGCTCTGCTTGTTCCCAGCTTGTTGACAAGTTGTCAGCGGTTTGTTGACAACTTGCTACAAGGTTGTTGAACTCAACAGACTTGTCACAAGTTGTTCCAACAACTCCTGCAATTCAACAATTTATCAACAAGTTGTGAATGGCAACCTTGTAGCAACTTGATGAAATAACAGCATTGTTACAACATGTTGACAAGCTTGCTACAAGCCTGTTGCGAACACATCTTGTTGACAAGTTCTGAGATTTTTACGTGTGTAACAGTATTAGTGCAAATTGCCACCCAAAAAATTACGAGCATATACGAGTCTGTACCATTTCAAAGCCTCGCTGGACGAGTTTTCAAGGCTTTCCAGATATTTAATGTTCCATCGTGTGTCCAAATGTATTAACTTACTCGAAATATTCCTTGTGTTTATCCATAAAAGGTAAAACGAAATATATATATCCTTTTTCGATGTTCGTTTCATCATCATCCACGCCATCTTTTAGCCCAATCAGCTTCAAGTACTCCCTTTCTTGTTCATTCCAAAATATTGGCTGGTTGAGGACGGTTTCACTTGGGACTAGGTCTAAATAAGGCCGCCATTTTGATGCAGGATTCGTGTACTCATAAAGAAGCGTAAGAAGCAGGGGCAACCATTTGTTTCTAGGCAGAAATGAAGAAAAAATGCTCGAGGGAGGTGTTACTGTTTCAGCTCACTGCGAAACTTGTAATTAGCATTAAAAGCGAACGATGCCATTGCGCTATACCTTGTGTCAATTTCCGGCAGATTTTTTTCAAATTCCAAAATAGTTTTAGAAATTGACGACGTATTTGGTTCGAGTAAAACATTTCTTGGAATTTTGAAGACAGACTCTCCGTCATCGAGATCTTCTAGAGCTATCATTCCAAATCTGTGACACGAACCGTCTTCTCTTACTGTCACCTATAGTTGTGAAATTACAAAAATATAAAAGACTGTTGGTTGTTTTCCGTTGCTTAAGTATACCCGGTTAACTGGGGCTGTATTTTTGAGACGTGATCGGCATAACGGCCTCAAAATGTCAGAACAAAGTCAAAGGTTCAACAAGTTGCATCGATCATGACTGATCTGAGGTTGTCATGAATAATAAAACGACTATACCTTTAATATTGACTAAAATGTTGTAACTTCGGCAAACTTACTGTCCAAACAACGTCACCATGCTTGCCGCTTTCAAGCTGGAAGACCTGAGTTCAAACCATTTTCAATGGTTCAAACCTTCGACGGACCTCTACTCAAGGTCTTAAAATAATTGAGGAGAAAGTGCTACCTTTACATTGACTTCACTAAATGGCTACACTTTCGCGTCTTCTCGGATAAGGACGTTAAAATCGTAGGTTCCTCGGTGTCGGTTCCCCTATCAAGTGGGCAATAGCCTGTACGTTGGGAAATTCACTCGGCACTCACCAATGGCAATGAATTTAAAGAAACTCAGTGAACTCAATTTTCTATATAGACTAATTTGAGCATGAAAACGTCAATTCTGGGCTTCATTTTTGGCAGTGGTCTGAAGACAGTCGAAGATAACACGATGGAAAATTAATGACGCAATTTCGAGTCGGGGAATTGATATAAAATGCCTGGTTATTCAATAAATCAGGAGTCTCAAAACGCTTTTATAAGCAATTAAATGTTACAAGCTAATTGTACCAAAATAACTGAGTCAATAGGCTAACAAACAATGTGTATATCGGGTCGCCGTGTTCTTGACATACAGTAATACCTTATCGTTTAAAATTAAACCAACATCGTTGCACCATTTCAAAAAATTTCCCACTAAACTTTGCGTTTTATTATTTTTCACTCTTCGCCTCTTTTGCTCCGGAGAATCCGCCATATTGGATTTCTTGCGAATGTTTGCTGACCAGTTAACACGTGCGAATTGAAGGCTCGCACTTTTAAATGAACATTGGACTTCTCTGGGTCTGACTTCTGAGACTCTGAGTGGGTCTACATTTTGAATACTTTTCCCCCTTTTTGGACAATTTTCCAGCTCTACAGTAATTTCGTCTTCAAAGATAGAAATGTGTTGTGTGAGCTTACTTCAAGAAAATCACAGGAAAGCAACAGCTTTATACACAAAAGTGACAAAACGCTAGACCGATAAATTTCAATACTCCTTGTTTGGAAATGGGTATAATAATAATAGGTATAATATATTTATATGTAAAATGTATTCTCAATCTCAATGTTCTAGCACAACAGCCACAACTACAGAGCATGTTGGATATGACAACGACGAGTTGGAAAGTGACTGTGAATTTTTGGCTGAGAATACTGACACCGGTTCTCGTGTTTATCTGATTTTAGCGTTGAATTATAGCTGTAAAAGGTCGTATTTTTGCAAAATCTTTACATATTCCTAGAGTTAACACTTTTGTGTACTCTTAGGAGTGATTATTTTGTTAATTTGCTCGTACAAAAGATCTAAACGAGCGTTTGTATTTTACTTATTGCGAAGAGAAGCCAGACGGGAAGCCATTATGGCGGCTGACCGGAAAGCTCGCACTGTGGTTTTTAAAACCCTAGAGGAAGCTAGTTTGGTCGAAATC